CTGACTGGAAGATCTGGTGAAATGGAAAGTAACCTGAGATGACATGATGGGAATTGGAGCTATAGAAATACACTGAATAGAATTGAACTGAATTGAAAATGGCCTCTAAGAAGATCAGAGATTTTAAAAGAGAAGATCCTGGAGCTCAAGCTGTCCTGTTAGTAACAGCTGGGTCACATCAGGAACACCAACAGCTTTAAAACCAATTATTTCTTAATGTCATAAATAAGGAATCAATCAGTTTCCGCTGCATTGAGGAATATTATCGCCATAGAAAGTGATTCTGCTATGATTAATATTAAATTTTCTTCATAAGACATAAGATAAAACTTGACTTTGCATCAAGGCATCATTCTTGTTAATATTTTCACATAATACTCTGTTTTTGAAGAAGCTTTGGAATATTTTATCTTTCGCCGCTCTCCACCAGCTATGCATAAATCTTCTTTATTCCAAAAATACATGCATTGTTTCCTTTGACTGAATATCAGAAGCCTGCTTTTTTAAAATGAATGAATAAAAGCGCAGCCAACAGCAACAATCATCAACAATCAGTTAAGAAGCAAAAGGTAACCAGGTGAACCTAGAGTGACTCATTACATTGATCTTCCAGTCGGTGTTGAGCAGCTCACTACGTCCCTCTGCTGTGTGGTGCACCTCCTCTCTGCCTCCCTGGAGACGTAGATGGAGGCTGTAGTGATCAATGGTTGCCTCTGCAAGGTTTTCTCAGCCAATTAGGAGATTTGTTCAGGCGCTAAGTGCTGCAAGCAGCAGCAGTGAAATCACTAGTGAAGCAGAGGCAAGTAAGGGTGTAGATTTCCTAAATTAACCCCACATCTGTCTCATTCTGTTGGTGTGAACGGGTCCATGGAAGTATGAATCCGAAAAGGAGGAATCTAAGGAAATTCAGCTGTTTGGTTTTTAAATTGGTGATTCAGGAAGTGGTTTGTAGGACATTAAGAGGACCATTTCTGTTGGCAGGACATATAATGTCCTTTTTTTCCAATCTGCTCGACTTTGCCTGGCTTTGCTCCTCCCCCCCCCACCCCCACCAACACATTCATAAACATTTCCTGTACTATAGGGATGCAGGATATTGGGATTTTGGCCGATATCCGATATGCCGATATTTTAAAACTCATGTAGCCGATAACCGA